ACCCGGGACATGCCAGACACACGAGGTGTCACAAGTACCCTTTCCAGGGCCGTTTTCACGCTCTCTGTGCAGTTCTCTGTGCAGAGAATAAAGGTTGGGGGGAATTAAGAGAATTATTTGCCTAGGATCTCACAGTCAGTTCTCACATCACAGAAGCTGAGATGTGTAATCCTATCTGTCTGCCTCTAAATCCCAACTCTTTGAAGACAGTCAAAGTACCTCCTAGGAGTTAAAAAACAATGTGGCAGGAGAGGTCAGTGTGGCGGGGAGGTGGGGACTCCTGGGCACCGGGATGGATTTTATAACTCGAGATTGGTCCTTTAGGTTGGGGATGCCTCACACTCCTGGGGAGACTCTGCCCCACCTCCCTGAGGAGCAAAGCTGCACCCCAACCTGCTGCTTTCCCCTTGGGGAGGTGGAGGCAGAGGAAGAAGACACGAAGTAAGAGATGAGAGGGAAGTCAGCCTTCCGGGCTCCTCTGCAAAGGTTAGGTGTGCAAAGGACACACACACACACACACACACACACACACACACACACCACACACAGATGCTGTAGAAGTAAAATCTGTAATGCAATCTCAAAAACTCGTGCCTCTCAGGCACTGAACTAGAGGGTTAAGCAACTTGAGATCATCCTTAAGCAAAATAAAAGAAACACAAACAGCCCTTGCTCAGATGCCTCCTCCCTCCCCTGGCAGCTGAGGAAATGGAGCAGTGGGAGGCTGCACAGCCTCGCACAGTCCTGGGTGGGAAGTGTCCCCAGGCTTTCCGGGGACTCCAGGCCCAGCATCTCCCTCTCCTCATCTGCTGGCAGCTCAGCCCTAAGATGCCTCTCTGGTCCACGGCTCCCTCTCCCCAGTGACCTCCTGACAGCTTCCCCGCCTGACCTGCCAGGCTGCCTGTGGCCCCCAGTGCCCCCTGGTGGGGCTTCTGTATTCCTTTCTAATCTCCCAGGAGCCTCAGGCCTCTTAATCCCCAGGCTCAGGGGAATACCAGCAGCTCAGCAGGCGAAGAGAGATGGAAATAGATAGCTTAAACCCCCAAGGACACATTCATGGGGTAAATAGAGCTGAAGCCCTGAATTTTGAAAACAAGGGCAAGGCAAGGGCAGACCAGCTGCTTCCTTTTGTTCCCAAAATGTTTTGAGCTGAAACGCCTTTCTATTTTGCTCTGGAGAAGTGTCTGTTTCTAGGGCCCTCCCACGCTTCTTGTGTGTCCCTCCTTTTAGATTTTATAGGTACATGTTCTATCCATGTGGCAGTGAGCAGTGACTTTTCAGAGCATTTTAGAGATGGGCTGTTTACATCCAGGAATTTTCTTGAAGGTCTCTGAAGCCTTTGTGCCTTTTCCAAGAGAGGCGCTTGGGAAGAACCAAAACAAACAACCTCGGAGCTCCGATCTGATCAGGCCAAATCTCTTAGGAGAATAAGGAAAAAGAAAAGTCAGTGTTTGTTTGTGTTGTTTCCTTTTCCTCCCCAACTTGGACAAAGACTGGATGGAGCCCTCCCTGCATCCGGTCTGGTTCAGAAGAGGCTATGCAAGGCTTTCTCCTCCTCCTCCTCCTTCTTTTGAGACAGGATCTCACCATGCAGTTCAGGCTGGTCTTGAACTCACTTTGTAGCCCAGGCTGGTCTCCAACCCACAGTGACCCTCCAGCCTTAGTCTCCCAAGTACTGGGACTACAGGCATGCACCATCATATCCAGCCAAGGCTCACTTCTGAAAGGAGCCAGAAACAGACGGCAATGTTTGCTTCGCCAGTGCTCTGGGAAAACTCAGGCCGTGAATTTTATATTTGTTTCTTTGGTCAAGGAGGACACAGCGCTGTCACGAGTCCCGGGCTGGGGCTACATCACTCAGGCCCCACAGTGACCGCACCAGCCCTACAGGGTGGGCAGAAGCCCCACGGCCTGTGGTTATGGCGCTGGCCGGCCAAGGCTGACCCAGTGCAATCAGTGGCTTGCCAGGCTCTCCCTCTTTCTACATAATTTATTCTGTGGAAATGTTACAGGGTCAGCAGGAGCCAGGGCTGTACTTAGGGTCGAGAGGCCCTATGTTTGTATTTTATACCCATTCATCATTACCCCTCCACTGTGAAAAGGGTGGTCTGTCTGGATTTCAGCGTCCTGGGCTGCACAGCCGCGGGCTGGTCGCTGCTGGGAAGAGTGGCCGGGAGAATGAAGGGAGGCGATGGGCATGGAAGAGCCCAGAGTCATCCTGGGCCATTCGTGTTCATGGGTAGACATTTGCTTTCTCTGTTTAAGCCTCAAGCTGAGCGCTTCTCCGCAACACTGCACATTCTCGTCCTCAGGCATGGGCACATCCCGCCTCATGAACAGGACAAAAGAAGCTGGGGGGGCGACCAAGGTTCCCCCGGCATTGGCAGGGGGGCAGCAGCAGGAGAGATCTTGGGAAGTGACCGTTGCTCCTTGGGAAGCTGCAAGCCAGAGGACGCTAAGGGCGCTGGGGTGCCAGCTCCTGGGAGCACGGAAAGATGAACCCATGGCAGCCTGGGCAGTAAGGGTTTCGCAGGACGTCCGTACAATGCTGTGGTGTACGGTGTTATGCAAGACCCAGTCACAAGATGGCATTCAAAATGAATGGGCGCTTCTCAGAAGATGTGCAAGTGGTGCACAAGCATGTGAGAGAATGCTCCTTGGGGCTGGCCATCTGCGAAATGCAGATTAAAAGTGCCCCGAGACAACAGCAGTCCTCAAAAAGTCCAGTAACCACACCTGCGGGCACCCACACTGTGGGTGGAAGGGTGGCCCAGTCACCACCACTGTGGAAACCCGTGTGGAGCATCCTCAAAAAACTGAAGGTGAGGGGCTGGGGATTTAGCTCAGCGGCATAAGCGCTGCCTTGCAAGCAGGCAGTTGTGAGTTCGATCCTGGTACCGATAAAACAAAAAGAAAAAACTGAAGGTGGAGGTTCCAGTTGGCACAACCCTTTCTCCCCTCTGCATTTGCCCAGAAAAGTTACAATCATCCTAGTACAGTGACACACGCACGCCATGTTTATAGCAGCACCATTTACAACAGGCAGACCTTGGAAACAGCAGGCATGTCCAGCACCAGGTGGACAGGTAGGGGAACGTGGTATTCACACAGAGTGGGGAGCTACTCTGCCACGAAAAAGAGAATCTGGAGGCGTTGGTGGGAAACCAGATGCAGCTGGAGAAGCTAAGTGAAGAAACCAGACAAATACACGCCCAGATACGGTGCGGTTTCTCCTACGAGAGAAGGTTCATTTATATTACCAGTTTATCTTAGTTCACCGAAAAGGAAGATTTCTGTTATTATCTCTGTCCTTTTTTAAGAATCTTTGGTTTATGTCTTGGACTCTGAGCAGTTACCTTGGAGATAATGATATACAGTAAAATAACTTGTTATTCTCTTATGATTTGATTATGAAATTTTATTTTACTTTTTCATGAGATAAAACATTTTTTTAAAAAATTCCACTGTGCATGTAAACTGGCTTGCTAGAAGCTAAGACACTGAAAGATTGAACCCCATGTCTGCCCCCTCCAGGTCCACCTGTGACCTCTGTGACCTGCAGGGTGGGTAATTATTTTTTCATAGCAAATATTCATACTTGGCAAGAGAACAGCAATTTTGCTGGAGACTAAATACTTACAAATGAATTTTTAGCATTTAAATAAACTTTAAAGCTGCACCAACGAATATGCAAAACTATTTTCAAGACTTAAATGCTAAATGGAAATAAAAATCTTAACAGCAAAACAAAACCAAGTAAGATAGGGGTTAAGGTCCCAGTTATGCAATTTCACTTAATAGGCAAAAAGCTAATTAAACATGAAAACTAGTTGATTTGAACATGAAGATGTTTTTATCTTGAAATTTTGCCATGTGGGCCAGAAATTCCTCTGAGTTCACTGAAGAGGAAGGTTTGTGCTAGCACTGTTCGGATAGTTAAACGCAGGTATCTTGTGCTCCAAGTAACTGATTTGAATATAACAATATGCAATGCCTACCCATTCTTACTCCTAATCACTATGCTTTGAAATTTTAGTTTTTCTCTTTAAAATAAAATAGATTTGAAAAGAAAAGCACTACAGAGAGACGGTGGATGTTCGCTCAGTGACCGGTAGGTACCCTGGAGTGGGTACCGGGAAGGAAAGCTAGGCCAGAGGAAGAAGAAGCCACGACTATTTAAACACAGCTCTTTGCTTGGAGCTGGGCCTGAGCTGGAAGCCTCGTCAGTCTCAGCTCCCGGAGGCAGCGAGGCTGCACTCCAAGGAAGGGCAGTGACCCTGGACTCCTCGCTAGGACCCCGGCGACCCAAATGTTGAAAGACACAGATGAGAAGCAGAAGCTAAGTGGGTTGGTTTAGCACAGAGCAGGCAGGGCCTGACAGGCTGAGCTACAACAGCACCCAGCGGCTGCAGGAAGGGCAGCCCTCTTGTAGAACACTCTTAGTCATAGCAGGGATTAGTTTGGGTTTGGGTTTGAGGCATAAAAAGCAGTTTTTAATTGTGGTTTTATATATAATGTATATTGCAAAATTTACTATCTCAACCATTTTTTAATTTTACACTAACTTCAAGAATTTAAGTGCATATTGTCAGGCAATAAGAAAAAATTTGGGGGGGGGGGCAGGGATTGAACTCATGACCTTGCACTTGCCAGACAGGCACTTGTGCTGCTGAGCTAAACCCTTGGCTCAAGAAAGACTTCTTGATATGAAGCTTGTACATAATGTTGGCTCTCTCTCTGTCTCTTTCAGACTGGTATGAACATACGGAATTCCCTTCACTGAAATTTTAAAATACAGTCTGCATTCTGAGCCTAGAGGCTTGGTAGTGATGACTCCTAGGTCCCTTGTGGCCCCCAAACTGCACATCGAGGTGGTAGTCAGGCTGGACGGGATCCTGGTGTCGTCAGACCTGACTCCACATGGATTGATGTCATCACCCTGGGAGTCTGGGTTTGGCTCTCCCCGAGGCCAGGGAAGCAGCTTGAGCTGCAGCGCTTACCTTGGGCTTATAGGCACTCAGCATGGACATCTCCACGTTCTGGCCTCGGACGTGCTTGGGTTGCCGCTGCACTGGTGGTGACGATGACTTCTGGTTATTGCGACAGACACAGATGAAGAAGAAGAGGAACGCGATGGCGAGCGGGATGGCCACGCTGGGCACCAGGATGTACAGGATTTCCATTTTATTCTTCTCCTTGGAGTCCTTCGAGTCTGGGCACAGAAGGGAGAGAGAGCAAAGGTCATACTCCCCACACAGCTTCAAACGAGCTGGTTCTTCCTCCAAGACACACAGGCCCCCACGCAAGAAGGGACCCATGCGTATCACACTTTGTTTCTGCCCACTCGCGCCAGAAGTGACTGAGGTTTAAACGTTTACAGTTGGAATGTTTGCAGATTGTATGGGGACCTGATAACGATTTTGATTTCCGGGGGGCAGGGACTCCCCGTATTGCCTCTCTTGAGCAGCAGACCTGCATTTCTCCAACACCCTCAGAGTTAAACAGTGGGTGAATGCACTGCATACCCTGGAGCCCTCCTGGTACCACAGGGCTCTTTCTCTATGGGCGCCTTGCTGAGAGGCCCCCACCCTGGTCCTGGCTGGTGGGGACCCACAGGCCTGTTCTGTGTCTTTCAGAATCAGTATCACTAAAGCATCCAGACTCCAGTCTCCCACTGGCCTGAGGATAGAGGGATCTGAGTTCAGGTTCAGTTCGGAAGGGGCAGGTGACCCCTAAACAAATCCTTCCCTGTCTCAGCCTCAGCTGCAGACATGGAACGCATGTCGGGGATGGCGCCTATCACCCCTCCAGCACAGAAGCATTGTATAACTTGACACTTCCGTGAAACCTCAGAATTCTTCTTAAATGGTTTCACATGAGCCCAATAATTATGCGTGCTGACACTTTGAAGTCCAGTTCTGAAACCGTATACATGCACTTTCCCATGGCTTAGCAGAGAGTGTAATCTGTGCAGAAGGATGTGGGGTACGCTTTCCTTTTTATCGGCTTGATGCTGGCCCTTAAAAGTACAAACTTATGGCAGTATTTTCATCAATGAATTATTTGACTGGTAAAACAAACACAAGAAGTATAACATGGCAATTAGAGGGTTTACATAATGCCATGGCCTGACCACCCAGATCAGTTATTTTTACTTTAAGAAAACCCAAAGTGTGAAAATAAAGATTGACACAAAACTCAGCGGTGAGTATTTACTTTGCAAAAGAATTATTATGCATCGTGCAATTTCCCTTCCCTCCTTCAGCAGGCCAGCAAGGGAGGGCCACGCACTAGTGTAGTACCGGGAATGTAAAACTGAATACAGCGTAACAGTAAACACAGCATACCCTCCATCCTTTAGCAGCTCACGGACCCGTAAAGAAACAGAGGGCCAACATGGGACGTGGGGTGCCACAGGGCTTGGGAAGGGTTAAGTCCAGTTACTGAGAATAATCAGATTAATAACCTCACTACCAGTTTTTCTAAGTTACTATGTGCCAGGTACTTCCCATCATGAACTCATTTTACTCTCAAAACCAGCTCCACGAAGTAGCTGACACTCTCTTCCCCGAGCCAGGTCCTTGCCGGAGGATGAGTGGGTGGTGAGCCCAAGCTGCCCCCCCCCGACCTGTTTGCTATTTCACTGTGCTGGCAGTGACTTGGGGAGTCCGCTGTGTGGCACCCATCTGCTCAGAGTAGAGACCCTCCATGCAGGGGAGTAAGAAGGGGGTCTCTGAAAGGTGGGGACCAACACTGACGCCTCAAAAGATGTGCTGACTTTGAACCGTGCACCTCACCTGCTTCAATGGGTCAATACATAGTGAATTAGACATTGCTGGGGACCATATCATCACCGCTAGGTGCCTTAGCAATGAGTGTATGATGTCTGTGGACAGACAGAGGGGCAGTAGTCATGGGAGGGAAAGAGGGGGTACCTCGGGCCTGGTGTGGATGCACCACACACACACACACATACACACACACTGCCTATGTTGGTCTGCTTTCTGTCTCTGACAAAACACCCAGCATAAGCAAAGGAGGTCAGGTATACCATGGTCCACTGGCTCCACTGCTTTGGGCCTGTGGAGAGGCAGAAATAACATGGTGGAAGGGCGTGGTAGGGGAGAATTGCTCCCCTCCGGGCAGTCAGGAAGCAGCAAGGGGAGAGCAGAGGAGAGGAAAGGCCGGCCAGTGAGACTCCCCGAGTTAGGTCCCTGTCCCTTCACGTAGGTCCCTGTCCTGTTTCCATCCCCCCAGGAATGCCAGCAAGTTCCGAGCTCCCCAAGGACTAACCTTGTGAGGTGTAGGCCTCAGGAGCAGCCACCTTCTGAGCACAGACCATAAGGCACCTTGAGTGAGGTAGGATGAGGAAAAGGCATTTAAAGGTAGAAGCCCCACAAGACTGCCTTTGCCATTGTCTTTGGACTCGAACTGGCGTCTGCTACCCTCAAAACCATCTGGGATCATAGTACACACTGAACAAAGAAACCTGGAAAATTCACGTGTGTTCCCTGCCACAACTCAGTCACTCAGTTTGTCTTCAGAGCAGAGGGAGACGTCGGGATAAACGTTTGGGGCTGGAAACTCAAACTAACCTCATGCAGGAAGCCGCCTCTGTGATCTCCATGTCCTCCTGTATGTGCAGAGTCATCGTACCCGCCCCAGCCCTGCTTGGTTCACATGTGACTCAAAGAGACAATGGTCGCCAAAGAAGCTTGAATAATCGGAAATTGGTATACAGCTTCGGGTGCTGTATTATTAACGGGATAGGATTTCTCAGGGTCCTGGGGGCGGATTTCTGTTGTTATTCTTGGATTTTCGGTGAAATCATTACAAGCGTAACGATGACAAAAGGAATGAGGCTGATTTGGAACTAATGTGACCTGGTCATTTTTCCAGCTGGATCGTTTTAGTAACAAGAGAAAGTAAGAGGTCACCTGTCTGGAGGACAAAGAGGGCTACCTGCATTTGTCCCTATCAGGTTACTCCTCACGGAGGCCCTTTTGTTGTCAATGGGCGGTGGGCTATGAATTCCCCTGCCCCTGCTGGAGAACAACTTGGAGGAGCTAAATGCTTCAGATACAGTCAGCAGGGCTCCCTGCGCAAGGACCCAGCAGGACACAAGAGAAATAACAGGGCACAGTGCGAGGTGACAGAGAACAAACTCAGGCCTACTGTGAGCTTGAGTCCTTCCTGGGCCCTCTGCATTTGGCCAGAAGAGGGCTCCATCTCTGGCTTTAAAAGCCTTCTAAAAAGATATTTTATAGAAAATTAGCCTCACTCAGGAAGAACGAGGAAGGGCCCAAGCATTTCCTCCGAGGGTGAATCCCTCTTCCACCAAGCCACACCGAGCCTTGTCCTTGAGCTCTCCTTCCTCCTCCTCACCCACACTGTGGCATTTCCTCAACTTTGTGCAGAGAGAAACCAAGGTTGACAAAGGCTAAATGAAATCCCCTGACTAATCACCCTAAAACATCGTCTGGAATTGTTTTCCATCATCCTCTTCAGCCGGCCAAGGTTCCTGTTCCGGAGCCCTAATCTCCGTGGGTATTGGTCCTTTCTGAGCCATTACGTGGGAACAATGGGCATGATGCTTGCTCCACACTTGAAAGGGTGATAGAAACTTCTAGTGCACTGAACAGAAAATTGGTTGAAAACAGGAATGGTGAACATTTTCAATACTTTGGAATAACTGTTTAAAAGTTAGTGCGTATATTAGTTACATGGAGTTCAATGCTTGGGATTTTTGCAACTAATAATTTAGTCCAGATCACATGATGAATTTCCTTTTAAAAATCAACAGTTTGGTATCACAGTCCACATCTGACATTCTTGTTCTATTTTTACAATGATATTCAATACTTTGTTTAGTAATTAAACATAATGGAGAAAGCACTCCTTTCTTAGCCCAGAGCTTCAAGCAAGGCAAACACAATTTCTTACTTGGTGGGTACTTTTGTAATGGGAAACATTGCCTGGGTTATTACTCTTGAGTTAAAACAAGAAAGTGCTCGGATTGTAAATATGACAAAGGTGGGAAGAAATCTTATAGAACCTTAGAACTCAAAGGAAATGAAACCAGTTTAAACCATGATCTTGTCTGAAAAAAATGTAAAAACCACAGAAAACAAGAATCACAAGTATTCATTATTTGAGAATCATCAAGATAAGTGAGTTGGTGGCAGAACACTGCACTGGTGACTTTATCCGTAACCCTGGAAGCCCAGGGACAAAGGGTCTGGTCAGCATTGGTCAGCGTGCTGGGACCAGGCACTCACACCCTGGACTTCACGATACAAGCGTGAGCGAGTGATCGAGGGCTCCTATAGTCTCACATGGATTTGTTCACAGGCTGCACAGGCTGCATCGGCGATTAAAACTTTTCTCTCCAGGAACAGGTCTTCATTACAGTAAGTTAGGACAGCAGTCCGCCTGCGAGCACTTGGAGACCCTTTGTACGTGAAATCTGGCATCCACTGTCTGCACTCTGGGTCTCTGTCCTCTATGAAAGCTAAGACTAGGCTCATCCTTTGTGTTTAAAAAGATTTTTAATTATGAAAAAGCCACATAAGGAAATTTACCATCTTACCTCTGCTTCATTTTACAGTTCAGTAACATCAAGTATATTTGTGGCCTTGTGCAGGAGACCTCATCTTGCAAAACTGAAACTCAGACCCACGGAGCACCATCTCCCTAACGCTCCCGGCAGCCACTGTGGGTGTTTCCGTGATCCAACTACCCTAGATTTCTCATCTAGGTGGAATCACAGTCTACATCTTTCCACAGTTGGCTTGTTTTGCTTCACATAATGTCCTTGAGGTTCACTGCTGTGTGCTAGGCTGTCCAGGTTTCCTTCTGAAAACCTAAATAGCACGGCGCTGTATGTTTTCTCTTCCCCCAACTCAGCAGCGGGGACTTAGGGGCACTTGGCTGGCTTCCACTGTGTGGCCCCTGCCGTGGCGAGGCTGCAGTGAACAGCCTGTGCTGTGTGAGACCCTGCCTCCAGTCCTGGGCCTGAGGCCCTAGGTCTGACCCTTAGCACTAAAAAGGGCCTGCCTCGTGAGGAACACCCAAACAGGCTTGCTGGCTACTCTGCTTCTGACTTTTGAGGGGGCAGGGAGCTGCTCCCCCAGCAGCTGCACCTTGCAGGGCTCGCCTTCCCCACCCTCAGACTGCTTCCATGCACGGTGACCACCATGACACATGTGAGGA